AGTATCTCCTGCTGAGACCCTCAGCAGGTCTTTATTTATACAGCAAAGCAGGCAGTGAGATTACATCAACATAAGCAATGAAGAGAAACAAAGACAATCATTACATATTTTCTCATGGGCATATGGAGACCCTCTTGGTCTCATACCAAAAAAGGCACTTCTTTGATCACCTTAAGAAAAACATCAGGGACAATTAGTTTTCTTGGTGCAACTCATTTTCCCAGCATGATCAATCACCTAAGACAGCACAATATATGGTAACAATCATTCTTTCAAGCTCCCTTATACCGGAATGGGTGTGAATGTCTTATTCTATACTTTGTTGCTTAAATTAACCCATTTCCCTAGCATAGAAATAATCTAGTTAATCTATTATCTACTTCAAAACGGCCTAAAGTAGCTCATCAAATCTATCTTATTTCTACAGAAGCCTAACTCTTAGCTAGAAATACCTAACCTCCATACAATCTGCGAACTATTGCCCTTTTGTATACACCAGGAAATGTACTGCTGCCGCAAATACGTACCCCCAGGTAAGGCCATGGCTTCCAAGCACAGCTGGTTCAGGGCAGCCTGTTCTCCATAGTTCTCAGGGCCAAAACATATCTTTCCTAACTATACCTTTAGCAATTTTACTTTCTTTTGTAATAGTTCATGCGTAAGAACAATGGCCAATTAACGCCTTAATCCGAATTAGGTTTTCACAAGCCAATTTATAACTAACTTATTTTTGCATTAACCAAGAACAAACAGAAGCGTATTAGTAGGTGTTGCTGTGAAAACACCCATGTTCACATCTTCTGGGAAGTGTAGAAACTCCCCTCTTTTTGGGAGTCTCCCCCAATGCCCGGACCTTGTCAAGAGACAGCATGGGTAGCGCTGCCTACAGCATAACACATAGCTTACAGTTTCTCACTTGTCCCACATATACGATAAGCTTTTATCAAAAGTGTCTAACATTAAAATCTCGAACTGCAAGAGCTACCTAACTTCCAAGTCTATGACCACAGTAAAAAAAAAAAAAATGTTTACATTGATATGTCCTTATTTTTTCATCTAATTTGCAGAATCTCTTTCCCTATTTTTGAAAATCCAAGTATTTGTCCATCCCAATTGGTTCATATAAAATATATATGTACATTTTGTTTTCACAGAAAAGTGATACCACAAGGGTAAAGTATGTGCCAGTCAATGCATACGCCATAATCATTAGTAGCAAATAGTTATTTGCTATGTACCAGACTCTCTAGAGAACAGAATATTTCGTTCATTCCTTGCCCTTATGTTCAGTCCTCTAGAAGAATCAATACTATGCTCTCTGATTCTCTTCTATGTCTATGTCTTCCCTTAGCCTCCTTTACCAAACTGACTTCTTCTACACCCTCCTACATATCCCCAGTTCCATATTCTTGCTGCACTCCATCTTGGAGACCATATTTCTTCCCACAGCTTCTGCCATCCCCTGAGCTACAATGATGAGCTAGCTCATCAATAACAGGTATCACAAGCATTATCCTCTCAACTCCTATTTCCAACAACTTTCTGGCAGTCTCCCATCTTTTGTTAGCCAAACTGGTTGTCATTTAATAAAATCAGACCCAGTCATCGAGGTGCAGCACTAATCCTCCTCGTGCACAGGACTTACCTGAGTCCCACAATCACAATGACTTTTTAGTGTTTCCTTTATCTGTGCATCTATGAAATCTTGTACCTCTATTATAGCATTTAACACACAACTGCCTCAAAAATCACAATTGTGTACATGTCTGTAGCCTCCATTAGAATAACCAGCAAAGGATGGGTATAAAGTAAAAATAGCTGCTGAAATTTACAGTTTTCTTTCATTTGGGCAGCTTAACTTCACATAGTCTTGTATTCTTCATCTGTAAAATGGAATCAAGATGCCCATTTTATGGAGCCACTGTGAAGCCAATGTATTGATAAAAGTAGCTTACATAAAGAAGTCATTGAAAAAGCGGAAGCTGCCTGGAGCTGTATACTAGTTTGCCCCGAATCCCTGAGGGCAGGGATATTATCTCCTCAGCACCCAGTAAGTATCAAGTAATATCTGCATAGCTCTTTACTAGCAGTACAACACAGTTCGATGAGTTGAAAACTGAAATGCGCTCATTTATTATTAAAGCTTCCTTTTAGCTGATCATGTTAGAAGAGACCTAATAGAAACCACTATCCAAATTTTGACTTTTTTTTTTAAATGACAACTTTTTGGATCCATAAAAGAAAACAACACTCTTTTCTGACCACAACTTCAGTGGACTTCAACTTCAGTGAAGTCCATTGACATCTCTGTAGTTTTTGTAGAAATATGATAAAGTGGCCCTTTCTCAAAAGGCTTAAGTTTCATTAAAAGATTTAAGAGAGAAGCAGCATTGTCTACGCCAGCATGCTAGAAGTGAACGTCACTTTGAGTTCCCACTTACGTTTTTGTTCCTTTGGAATCCTGCAATATTCTGTGATGGGTTTTAACTAATTAGCTAGAGCCTAAACAGGAAGTTTTCATTGAAACACTCAGGAAACTCTTTTTTCTGGCCAAGTCTTTATTCTTCCTCTTCCTGCAATGACAACTGACATTTCTATACTTCTTAATCTTATGCCCAGGAATAAAATAAATAAGTCAGGAACGTATAAAGTTTTAATCTATAAATGCTTTTGTTTCATCAGATTCAAAACTTCCTCCCTTAGAGCACTTCACGCTCTTCGATTTTCTGAGGTATGGAAGGTATAGAAAGCTTTAAAAACAAACCTGAAACTGTTTACTGAAGAAAGAATATGGGACATTTTTTAGAGATTTTAATAGCAAAATCAGAATCACTCATAGTAATGGTTGTATGTGTTCACATTCATATTCTATTAGAGAAAAATAGAATTGACTGAAACCCCAGTATTCATGGATGGTAAACAGACAGACCACAGGCCTCATGTGGCCCAAATAAATTTTTACAGTTTTTTAGAATTAAGAATTTAAGAATTAGAATTTAGAATACTTCACACTAAAAATCTGGAAGTTTCTATCGTTTTCCTTGAAAAACTAAATGTTTTGTAGCTGGGGTGTGGGGGGCAGGCAACAACAAGCTACAGTGCAGTAAGCCCATCTTCACAGTAGTTTACAGAATGCAGACCCTCCTCTCCCCCACATGTCTCCTGCAAGGTCTGCTCCACTCCTTTATCTTGCTTCTCACATTGGGAATGCCCTTTTATTTTTAAAGCAAAAGACCTGAGCCCAAAAAGGTTACCCCATTTACTAGCTTTGTGACCTTCCGCAAGTTCTGAATCTCTGTCCCTCGGCTTTAAAATGGAGAGAATTCCTTGACCTCACAAGGTTGTTATGGGGATTTAAAAAGAAATGTATGAAAAGTACGTTATAAACTGTAATGTAATATGTTGTCCTTATTATTCATCTCCCAGCATCCCATCACTCACAAAAATCTCCTTTAGTAACCTCAGTTATTACTGGCTTCCATGTTCCTCACATTAGTACACTCTATGACAATTTAAAACCTATATAATCAATATAAAAAAATGAACAAATTTCAAAGGAAAACAAACTACTGAATGATGTAAAGTGGATCTTTACTAAGTCATTCTGCTGGGATAAAGGTATGAATTTAGTGAGAAGTGTAATTACTGGTTTGCTAGTCCTGGATTCAAGGGCTGCGCTATAAGTTCATCCACTAGGCACCTGAGGTCTCAAAGTAAAATTGACAGCCCACTCATGAGGCATTCCTATTAGATGTGGGCACTGACCTACCTCCACCTGGGGCCTAACTAATGCCCCAGTAAAGGAGCCAATCCATTAGAAAAAAACAATAGGATTGATAAATCTTTCTCTGTCCCTTCTTTTCTCTACATTTTAATATATGTTCCAAAAGCTTAGAAGTAGTAAGTCATGGCACACATCTTATATCTATATCTATCTACAAATCTGTAGATAGATGTAGTATGTAGTATACATACTTACATGTCTACATATCTACATATCATACTGCAGATGTAGTATGTAGTATACATACCTATGTCTACATATATACATATATCTATGAATCTACATATATCTATTGATACATAGCTATATGTAGACAGATATAAATGTCTCAAAATCAGTAAGAAACTTGAAAGAAAACAATCTTCTCAAAAATGGGCAGAGGTATAGAAAACCTCTGATGTTTTGGATATAGATGTGATGTATACAGATATGATGAATGTGATGGATACAGAAATGTTAGCAAATATGTATATCATGAATGCTAACTCCTTATGTTAGGAATCTGCACATATTGACTATATTCCTGTTCTGTTCAATTTATAACAGAAGGACATCCTAGTGTGTGGAACCAGAACCAACTCATCTTCTGCTTTTAATGTAAAAATAATCATGCCCAAGTGGACTGCCAAATACAATGTTTAGTAATAGAGAAGGAGGAAATTTTAATAGGACACAGTTTTCCTTATAAGATCGTTAAAATGGCAGTAATTTAGGATTCAAGACACAACCGTTGAAAAATGTATCTGACGAATCCTTTTTTCAAAGCCTACCATCCAGTGCAATTGCAATTACCGCTTTTCTGCAAGTTGAATGAAACTGTCACCTGAATACAGATTAACGAATGCCAAATTATCACGTGGTTCGCCTCAGTGTATATTTTATGTTTAAGAACAAAAATAAATAAAAGCAGCACTTAAGAAACCAGTGCTCTCAATACATGTCCCAAAGCTGATGTTTAAGCAAGTCTCCTTGGCAACCAAGAAGCACAGCACCTTTCGGGCTGGGGGAAGGAGCAAGAGGGGGAGCAACTCCAGGGTTGGTAGAATAAGTAACTGGAGTAGTAATTGCTCCCGCTAGACGACGCTGAAAGAGGCTGCTTGGGCTCCAAGCCCCAGAAATCTGCACTCCGGTCTCGGCCCCGCTGGCGCCCCAGCAGCCTCCCACCCTCTCCCGCCGGCACCAACCCCGAGCAGCCCGCGAGCAGAGACTGGCTTACCCGAAGGGGTGAGCGGTCTGCAGGGTTTTGCACCCGAGGCGGCAGCGCAGGCACCGGGCTCTCCCCGCTGCACAATGGCTCTGCTTCACCCCACGATGAGGGTGAAGAGAAACCGCAGTAGCTTCGCTCTGTGGGTTTGGGGATGCAGTTGTGAAGAACCAGCGCGCTAACGTGTGTGAATGTGTGTGTGAGCGTGCGCGCGCGTGTGTATGTGTGTGTGTGTGTGTGTGTGTGTGTGCGCGCGCGCGCGCGCGCGATCCCAGACTCTCCCGCGGGGAAACCGTGTTTCCTAGTAAATAAGAAGCAGCCGCCAGCACTGCAGGTGGCGCGTCCAGATCGCAGTGCCCCAGGCGGCCGCGTCAGCCCGGAGACGCACCTTGGCGGACCCCCGGGCTGGATCAGACCGCGAAGCGGCTCCGCCCCCCTCCCGCCTCCGGCGACCAGCGCGCACGCCCGTCCCCTCCCCCACCGCCGGCGAGCCCGCGCGCACGCGCCCCTGCCCCCACCCCGGCGCCGGGAGGCGCGCACGCCGCGCCCCCGCCCTGCTCCGGACCGCGGCTCGGGCGCGCGCCCGCGCTCCCCGGAAGTCCCGCGCCTCCTCGCCGCACCGGGTCGCGCTCCCGCACCTCAGCAGCCGGCGGGAGGTCGCCTGGCAGCCCGCGGCCAGAGCGCCCGCCCCTCCTGAGACGAGCGGCGCCCGGGAGCCCAGCCGCCTTCTCCCAGACTCCCGGCCCCGGGCTGGGCAAGAAGCCTTCTGGCACGGAAGCGGTGACCCCAACTTGGGCTCCCTGCGAGCACTCGCCCCTACTTCGCTATGCGTGACCCAACTGACGTGTGAAGTTGAAGTTGCCCCATATTTTTAGTGGCCGGTTGGCAAAACCTTTGGAGTAGCCCCCCACCCCTTAGGATAATACCCTTTGTGGTGTTACAGGGCAGGGAGAGGGGCACCCCAGACCCCGCAAATCTGCCTGCATCCGCCGCATCAACACAAAACATATGAGGCTTTAATGAAAAGGAACTTTAAAATAGTTAGTAAACAACACAGGAAAGGCAAAGAATATAGTTTCTACATCAAGCACCCAAAGTTACCCGTCCCTCGTGGGTAAAACTCCATCTAAATGGGATTGGCCCAGAGCAAGGCCCCCAAAGCCTGCCACAAGTCTAAAGCATCTTCCAGTGGGGACCCACAGAAAAGGGTCAGAAACAACCAGGCAAGTCTGGAAGGAAAAGAGCAAAATCACAAGACAAAAACCGCTATTGTCACAGCCCCATGGGTCTCTCACCCACATCTGTGTCAACAAGTCCATGACCAAAAGGCAAGTATAGTTTCTTCACGTGTCTGTAGGCTCCATGTGCCTCCTTCAGGTCTCCTTCTGTATCTCCATCCACCGTCCTTCCTTCTTTAGTCTCCTCTGTAGCTTTTTTTTTCCCCTGCTCAGATCCACCCTCTTTTTGGATGGGGCAGGAAACCTGGAACCTCCCCCTTTCCTAGGGACCACCCTGTTACAGCGGTACTGTCGATAAAGGCTTCAGTGCAATGTTAAGAAATGACAAAGGATGGGTCCCCCTGGCATGACTGGAAGGAAGCCCTGAACCTGAGGAATGAGGAAAGGTATTTATTTGGTAACGGCCAATTCAGCATTAAAAGTGCACACAGACAACAGCCTCAGAACACTACTGAAATTCCAGACCATGACCCATTTTTACATCGTTTGCAGATCATTCATGTCATTCCTGTGTAAAGCATGCTCACAGATGCTCACTAAGCAAAGTGGCTGATTTTAATAGATAAGAAGTATTCCATATGCCTCTTTTGAATTGAAAACTTGGTCCAATGTGAAGTTAAGCCAACAGGCACAATGAAACTGTAAATTGGAGTAAAAATATATTGTGTAGAAATTTGGAGTTTAAACTGGGAAAGATGAGATTTCACAGAATGTTAAGTCCCATCTCCTGCAGTTGGTATACCTCCATACCTGGCCTAGAAACAGTGCACTGGTCTGTTTTAAGTTATCTTTAACGTTTTCATTAGTCTCAAATCAATGGTTCAGCAGTTTCCATGTTCAGCCCTACAGGTGTTCGGGGCCTGTTGGTCCCCTCCTCCCCACCTCACTTTGTGTCTGGCTTGCTGGCTTCCAACAGCTTCATTTTCGTGGTCTTGACAGTGCTTTAGGAGAGGCTGTTTTTTCAGCATTCCTGAACACCATGAAAAGGAAGAATGACAATCGACTGCAAAGATTAGACACAGTGTCATTCTCTAGAATTTTTCATAAGCAATTTGATATTTTTCATTGGATGCTATTTTATACCAGAAAATCAAATGTCAAAGCATGTTTGAACCCAAAATATTGACAATGACTGGTGTCAAATAGTACACTCCTTTAGAATTCACAAAGTATTTGTCACTAAAATGACTATGATTTTTAAACCCATCTATATGGGTTTAGATGATCTATTTAAAATAAATAGAAACTATTTGTTAAAGACAAACAGTGCAAAGAATAAAACTACACAGAATAAAATATGTCACAAACTCATCATGTATGTAACTATGGAAATATCTCATACTTATCAGACTCGATCTGTCCATCACTGTATTTTTATTTGTTAACACAATGCCTGTCGCATACTTGAGGCTCAAGAAATATTGCTGACTGTCAGATAGATGTTGAGGATTAAACTTTTAAGTGTCTGTTAAATGTCTAGAAAAATATTTAGTTCAGAGAAGATAATCTTTTCTTACAAGGCTTCTCAAGATTGATTTAAAGTATAGATTTTTTTAATCAAAAAACTTTATTTCTCTAAAATGAGAGGCTGTAGTCTGTTAAATAACTATCAAAATTCATCACAAGTGCATATTCCAGTACTAGAAGAGCAAATAGATCGTAGATCCTTTTTCTTTCTTGAGTGCCAATATATATGGCTTTTCTCCTTATTAAAAAAATAGCTCATAACAGCACTCCTCAAAAGCTGTGCTTTGGAATACTAGTCATTTGTTCAATAAATATATTTAAAATACTTTTTGAGCTCTTAAAATATATTAGGTTGCTGTAGGACTCTCTACCCATGCTGTCTCTTGACAAAGTCCGGGCATTGGGGGAGACTCCCAAGAAGAGGGGAGTTTCTACACTTCCCAGAAGATGTGAACACGGGAGTTTCCACAGCCATGCCTACTAATGCTCTACTGTTTGTTCTTGGTTAATGCAAAAATAAGTTAGTTGTAAATTGGCTTGTGAAAATCTAATTTGGATTAAGGCATTAATTGGCCTTTGTTCTTACACATGAACTATTAAAAAAGAAAGTAAAATTGCTAAAGGTATAGTTAGGAAAGAAATATTTTGGCCCTGAGAACTATGGAGAATAAGCTGCCCTGAACCAGCTGTGCTTGGAAGCCATGGCCTAACCCAGGAGGTGGGTGGGAGGTACGTATTTGCGGCAGCAGTACATTTCCTGCTGTATGCAAAAGGTCAATATTTCACAGGTTGAATGGAGGTTAGGTATTTCTAGTTAAGAGTTAGACTTCTGTAGAAATAAAATAGATTTGACTTTAGGCCACTTTGAAGTAATTGATAAATTAGCTAGATTATTTGTGTGCTAGGGAGATGGGTTGATTTAAGTAACAGAATATAGAATAAGACATTCATGCCCACTCCGCTGTAAGGAAGCTTGAAAGAATGATTAATTGTTACCGAATATTGTGCTGTCTTAGGTGATTGATCATGCTGGGAAAATGAGTTGCACCAAGAAAACTAATTGTCCCTGATGTTTTTCTTAAGGTGATCAATGAAGTGCCCTTTTTGGTATGAGACCAAGAGGGTCTCCATATGCCCATGAGAAAATATGTAATGATTGTCTTTGTTTCTCTTCATTGCTTATGTTGATGTAATCTCACTGCCTGCTTTGCTGTATAAATAAAGACCTGCTGAGACCCTCAGCAGGAGATACTTGCACCCTGATCAAGTGTCAGTGTCTCCTCACTACCTCATCTATCTCATCTCCCAGGTCCCCTCATCCCCTCAAGTCGCCCCTGACAGGACATTTTGCCGGAGCTGGCTTCTGGCATTAGGTAGTGTAACCCAGTATAGGAATTTCAATTGTTTTAAACTAGTGCTATTATGTGAAATAAACTAAGGAAGGAAAAATAGTTGTGGTTCCTTTGATTGCAAAACAACAGAAAACCAATCCACCCTATATAAGCAAAGGAGAATTTGATGTAATGTTTTATAAGGAGATCTGAGAATTGACGGGAGCCTACCAAGTAACTACACTAGGAAGCTGGCAGGAGTTACAGCAGCTACGAGGGCACAGCAGTAATGACAACAGGACACAGTCACAGCAAGAATGTCATGATCAGGTGAGCCCCCATCTATTGTTCTTTTAATTCCCAATTCATATTCTAGCTTTCAGTTGTCCTGATTTGGAGCATTGACCTGTCCTTTAGGTGGGTTAGGGAGGGGCAGACCACTGATTAAGAAAATAAAGCAGACCCTAGATAATAGCAAAATAACATATATTCCACATAGGAAATAGGGTGCCAGGGTCAAATGAATTGGGGAAGCACTGAAAACAGATAATTACATTGTTATATTAAAGATTTAGAGCTCTACCAGTAAAGAAACCTCTTTTGCTTTCTTAAATAACTGTCCTACAGATGATTGAATGTGGAACATACTCCAGCATATTTCATATAACACACTGTGAGAAGCATTTTGAAATATGGTAAGTTTTTTATAGCCTTTTTTCTCCCATCTGTTATTAGTATAAATCTAATCAAAACTTATATAAAATCTGTGTTTTAACATCTCTGTGACAATGAAGAGAATTAGTTTGTCTCCAGATATATCAGATCTCAACCTAAAACTAAATCACACAAAAAAACTGTGCTCTAGAACAAACACTTATTGTAGCTGCTTGTCCCATAGTAAATGAGGAGGTGTCATTCTTAATGTTAGTGTGATGGTTTTCTCTTGCAAGCCCAGTGAGGGACATTAAGAAGTCACTCAGCCAGCTTTCTAATTTTGGCATTACTGATTGTGTGCCAAACCAAAATTAATTTTTGCCTGGTATTCCCCAGTTTTCAAGTAAAAATTACAAAGTAAGCAGGTAATGTTTCAACTTATGCAATAACCTGTGGGTCCATTTTGTAGCTAATTCATCCATCCCATTTATCAGGAACTAGTGTCACTCCAAAATAAATAAATTCCTAGATGTAGAACTTCTGTACAAAAAGGTAGGTGCATTTAAAAAAGTAAATATTGGTAAATTGTCATCCAAAATGTTTGTATCCATTTGCATTCTCATTTGCCCATATTCTAACACTAGGTACAGATTTCCCCTATCTGAAAGTAGTGTTTGTATCTGCTATCATTTGGTAGGTTTTACTT